ATTTCCCCCTCTGAAATGTCTTGTCCCAAGACTTTCCCTGGGGAATCTTGTGAGTCTCCCTCTTGTGGAGGCTCAATGCACCTTCCCTAACGAGCAGGAGCTCAGCTTTACTAGGAACCACTGGGTCACGACGCTGCCACTTAATTATGCATTTATGTGCGAGTAGGCACCCATTCAGCCAAGGACCACGCTTGGTTTTGCTGAATTAGTGATCATAATGAACATCCATTGCTGGAATATAGTAAGGCAGCAGTTTCACCTCAGCTGTTACATTAACATGATACAGTTGATACAATGATATTTTCCAGCACAGGTTCCTCTAAGGATCCTCTTCGCTGGACTCATTTTAAAGTGTACTGTTATTGTTATGATTATTATAGTTTTCACTTCCGTTTGTTGCACATATATATATACTTGTAGTTGTTGAATTTTACTTCCTGTCCTCTAGAAATTGTCAAGTCTGTTCTTGAAGCTATTTAATGAGTTTGCAGTTACAATGGGGTCAGATAAATTGTTCCATACTGTTGTTCTTTTATGGAGAACACATTTCTCTGTAGCAATGTCCTTGCAATCCTGGGAAATAAATATCCTCCATGTATATATTCGACCTGTCATACTAGTCAGGTACACTTGTTTAACTTGGGTTTCTTTTTAAGAGACACCTGCTTTCGGTTACCATAGAAGTTGTATCAGCCCAACTATAAACTGAATAACACAAACATAGCTGTGAGTGTGTCAATGTGAGAAAACCTCATTTGACAGCAAGAAGCATGCTATTAACTGTCATGATGCCTCCATACTATTAATTTCGGGCAAGTCCTTCAAGAATCAAACTATAAGCAATGAAGTTGCTGACTTCACTTGTACTCTTAACCAAGAATGTGATATTAATAACCTGCTTTTCACAGGGTTTTCCCTATAGCTAGGACCCTCAAATTTCAGACATTTTAGAGTCCAAGGACTCAAAACACACATAATGAAGTGCAAGTTTTTAACAGTTTTGGGAGTCCTTTGTCAGATTAAGGAGTCAAAATGCAGGTCTTTGAGAGTCAGGGAACCCCCCGTTTTCATATCTTCATGGTAAAATTCCAAATGTAAGATCCAGTCTATCGGGCGCAGGGGAAGAAACTCATCTTTCGCTTAGACGGCCGACGTTGTGTGTACGCAAATGCATGTACTGAAAATCATGTATTCCTACAATTAAATCCTTCACGTTTTATGGAGGTCGTAAACGTACTAAACATAACATTTTTAAAATTAATTGAAAATAAAAGCATCGACTTGATATTATAATATTGTGTGTCGGCGTTTTACAAAATGTAAACATTGATTTTGCAGGGGACGTAAGCGGGATTAACAATTACGTTTTAAATGTATTTTAGGTCTGTTCACAACAAATATTATATGCTTCGCATTCTCATAGAATCAAATAATAATTCTAAACTTATAAATGATATCTAGAATGTATGATTACAACTGATTCAGGTGGATTGAACTTACATTTTCTCTATATTCTTCATGTAAAGCGTCTCTTGAACATGAAATATGTCAACTCAACTGTGATTGGTCCTGAATGTGCTTTAGCCAATCAAAATCAAGCTTACAAAAGAAACAAGAAATATGGCTGCCTCCATGAGCACAACAATGTCTTTAGAGGAAAACATTTTAAGAGACATTAGAACTCAATTTTTCGAAATGGTACCAATTAGGCGAATGAAATGGAAGGTAATTGATTCAATAATGAAAGAAAAAAATCTCCATTTTTACGTCGAAACTCAAACGCATGTTCATTTTTTGTCAGCATTTTTACAATCATAAAAACATAAGTATCTCCACTATGTTCAGATGTTAGGTGTCGTCTTTCATCCCATTATTGTTAAGGTATGTTTGGGTAAATCCTTATACTTACAAAATAAACATTGGCAAAGCTCATCAATTAAATACTAAAAATTCGCTGTAGCACATTTCTAGCATTTAATATTTCAGTTTTGAATTAGTTTGGACCAAAGACAATAGAAAAATAGGTTTATTCTGTCTAAGATCACCAAAATAAGATTGATACAAAATTGAAAATATAAAATTGTGCAATATATGTTGCGTACTTTCCGTAGTGGCACATCCCGCATACCGTTCGTCGAAAGTCCTTGGTAAATCGTCCGTGTGGTGTCGGACACCCGCAACGAAATTAAGTTATAGTTTTATAGATAGAATGGGCAGTCGAGCAATACACCAACCAACACAGTCCCTGAGTTTCGAAATATATATACAACTGGTAACACCGAATGCATGGACAATACAAGTTGCAGTATATTCACACATACATGTTACCCAGCATGGAGCGTACATACAGCTCACCCAGGCAATTAACAGATAATCAAGTTCTCGTAATATCCCTGTCGTAAAATCCTCTCTCACTCCAAATCTAAACTCCCTTCAACTCTCTCACTCGTTCTTTATATACTTAACCCTGTTAGGCGAAAACGGGCAAGCTGAACTTAAGTGACTCAGGAGTTGCTTGACATAACAAGACCCGACCAGTCGGGCAACTGACACTGTGCATGCAGGGCCAATAAACGATAATCCTGATAAACACTTATAAAACAATAAGTAAGGAGCTAAGGATGAACTTGTGTAAGACAGATAGGGACACTCAATAAAACCCCAGAGTTATGTAGCCATGGGTGTCTGTGGAAATGGGCGACAGGCAATTAATACCTACTCAATTACGGAGTAATAAAACCCCACTTGATTTGATAAAACTGTAAAATTTGATAGAGCTGTAATAAACCCAAAATGGCAAACGTGGGCAATTTAAACCCTATCTACTTACGTCATGTCAACATATTCTTAAAGTCTGATAATTAAAATATAGAACAATGAACATAGTGTATAGCTACAATATATGTATTTATCGCATAATGTACTGTGTTATCCAGTGAATATACACGTGTCATATTTTTTGCATATTACTTAACAACCCATGTAATATTACCTATCAGCCCTGTGATTGGTTGTAAGTTTCAATTGTGACGTTACACCTAGGACAAGTACATGACGTCATAGACTTACGCACTGGAGTCAAAATGGCGTCTTTTTACATTTCAAGGTTGCATGAAAATTGTAGTTTTACACGAATAAATCCCACAAGTCTTGATTATGTGATGAAAAGGATCTTGCACTCGTTTTTATTTGAAAAATTTGTGACGAGTTTCAAAAATTTCATATGAAATGAAAACGAGTGTAAGATCCTATATATATATACTGGTATAAGAATCGCTTATGCATTACTTGTATTTGCAGACGACACACTCAATAGATGACAAAGATATCTCACCAGACTTGCAAAGGGCTGTTCTGAAGGCCACCGTTCAAGATGCCACATGTAAGCAGTACCCGCCATCACTCAGCTATCAACGTGCATTTGTTAAGAGCATCTTACATAAGGTAAATATACAGTTCACATATAGTTTGAAAATCTTTGTAGCGTAAAGGAACTGGACTCAGTTTGGAGGTTCTGCGTTCGAATCCTGGTCTGCCTGTTGCAATTTTCCTTTCCTGTTACACATGTAATCATTGCACATAATTCCTATATTGACATTTGAATATATTATGATAGTAATTTATTAGAGTTGATATACAAATGTAGTTGATTTTCTCTTTTTTTGTGTGGTGTGGTATATAATCCTGTATTTTGCGTGAAGAAAAATCTTAAAAATCTTATAAAAGAAAAAGAAAACATTTTGAGAAAGAGTTTCATTTTGTGATTTTTAGCTCACCTGGCACGAAGTGCCAAGTGAGCTTATGCGATGGTGCGGCGTCCGTCGTCCGTCCGTCCGTCGTCCGGCCGGCGTCCGGCGTCAATATTTTACTTTAAACGACTTCTTCTTAATAACCAAAAGGCCTAGGGTGATGATATTTGGCCAGCAGCAAACTGGGATGAAGGGCTACAAAGTTTGTTCAAATGAATGACCTTCACCCATATTCAAGGTCACAGGAGTCAAATATGTTAAAAACTTTAAACATCTTCTTCTCAATAACCAAAGTGCCCAGGGAGATGATATTTGGCCAGTAGCATGCTTGGATGAAGGGCTACCAAGTTTGTTCAAATGAATGACCTTCAATTATATTCAAGGTCACAGGGGTCAATTGTCTTAAAAAACCTTTAAACAACTTCTTCTGAATAACCAAAATGCCCAGGGTGATGATATTTGGCCAGTAGCATGCTGAGATGAAGGGCTACAAAGTTTGTTCAAATGAATGACCTTC